AACAACGCAATTGCTATATTTAGTCTGCAATTATTACTTCCGGAATTGGAACTGTTTTACCGGACAAACAAGTTTCTATTTTTTGTCATCTTCCTGGTACAATCAATTTCAATATAGAGAGGACAAATAGTCGTAATTAGAATAAACGAAAGGTTAAAAGATTAAAAAGTAATTTAAGCAGATGGACCTTATTTAGTTAGCAGTTAGAAAAAAAAAAATGCTTTCTCGAATAATTCAAGCATCTAATTTGCTGAATATGAACGAATAAATGCTTCAAATTATTAAGATTAAAAATTTTGAAATGACAAAGTTTAAGCGAAATATTCTATCACAAGAATTTTATCAAATTTTGAATTTCCTATCAATAATTTAACATATTACGAATATAAGATAGCTAAAGATTAATACTTCCCTTTTTGGAGTATAAAATCAACAAAGATCATTTCACCAATTAGAGTGTAATTACTGTTTTTCATTGTCATTCATTTTCTCGATGACATTGCAATGATCAGCATACGAATGTCATTATCAAGTTATGTGACATTGTAATTTTTTGTAAGTTGATATTCTCTTAAATCATTAGACGTTCACTGCGATATATGATGCATAGGCCAGATATGACTACAGTTTCCTAATACTAGTCTTATCTAGGCCAGAAACGGATGAGCCGAGTGATCCTTAATTTAAGTATCAGCTGATATTTTTGAAAAATGTCATATCGAGTTTTACACCTCAATCATTCCTATATCCGCCATAAAAGATTCATCCGCTGGATAGGTTTGCGAAAAAACGCATATAACCCATGATTGTGATACATTTACAGATGCGCTTGTCGCAGCAGCGACTCATCAGCGCACATTGTCGAGAGTGGAAGGGATAGTAGTCCTGCAGAAGAGTAGCTTAGGAAGATAGTGAAATCTGAGAGTCAAACTGCTTCTTTACACACATCGAGCTGTAGCTCTCTGCAACTATCCCTTCAGTTGTAATGTTCGAAGTATAACTTACCAAATATTTTATGTTACACTATTCTTTATTACATTTGATAACGTGATATACGTTTATTTTACGTGACGTACTTTTGTTTTGCGTGTTGCTATTTTCTGACGCTTCACAGAATTATGGGTAATTACAAGTCACGTCCACCATCTTCATGTGCAGGTTATACTTTCTTTTCTTTTTTTTTCCTTATTTAAGGGAAAAGTTACTTTGAAATAGAATTATAATTCAAGGTGAGAATTTAAAAAAAAAAACTCTTTTCCAAACAATGGAAGCAATTTTTTTATTTATTCAGCAGAATATAATAACATCAAAAAGTTTTGATTATGTTTTTGTTTTCAAGATGAATTGAAAAAAAAAATTAGTGAAGGTTATGCGGTAGTACGATCAAGACTTAATGATGATATCAAACCACGTTTTGATGCTTGGAATGTGCTACAGAATGCATGCTTGTAAGTTTAATTGATTGCATCAAAAAAGTAATTTTGTTTTTATTTTCTTGGGTAAAACAAAGTTTCATTTTAATACCTTCCCAAGAAGGTATCCATTCTCGAAATGCAATTATGATATACAGGTAACAGTGGTTATATTTTATTGATGGAACAAATAATGATTTTTTTCTTTAGTCAAGGTACATTGAAAACAATGGAAGAATCATTGAAAGGTTTGAAAAATCTGGATGAACGTACCGAAGACCATCAATTGTCATTGCTACATCTCATTTGCGCTGGACATTCGGAGCAGGTATCTCTAATTAGTTATGAATATTTTACCTTATCTTTCTTAACTTTTTTGAGATTTAAGAGTTTTATTTCAGCAACCTGAAAAAGTTGCCATTCTATTTGAAGCATGTGGTGATGATGAGATGAAAAAAGAATTACTCCTCAAATATCTTTCTAAGAATGGCTTTTCTGCTCTTCATTTCGCCGTCTATAAGGTAAAACATCACTTGATACATATTCTCTATCCTGAATACTTTCATAATTGTAAAAACTCATCCTTAACACGATCAATAGCTATTGAGAAATGATTGCCGTGCAAGTTATTGCTGACAAGTAATTGCAAGTTGGAGGTATTTATTTGAACTTGTATTCATTCCTTGTCATCAGGTAGTCGTCTAACCCATTTCTCCTCTTCCAGAAGAAATTATTTATGTGCTATTTTCATGCTCTATAAAGTTACTCCATCAAACGTTTTTGAACTTCTTCGTCTAAATCCCAAGTTTAAAATAGATAGTTGTTAGTGAATTCAATTCATCATCTGTCCTTCCTAATTACATTATTTTTATTGTTATTATGATTCTAGGATGAAATAGAAACAGTGGAAAAACTGCTGACAGCTGGAGCAGACGTTGATTTTGCGGGTCGCAACAAATTACCACCTCTCCATTTGGCCGTAATGTGTGGTAATGCTGAGATGGTGGAAAAGCTGATCGACCGAGGCGCTTCGTTACAAATTGCTGACTTTGTAAATTTCACTCCACTTCATTGCGCCACTTATTTTGCTCATGAAAAGGTGTGGAATATTTATCAATGGCACATTAATTGAGATCAGGAAGACAAGTTTTTAACTTACATAATTTTCGACCATAATTGATACATTTTTTTTTTTTGTAAACCGAGATTCTACAGATAGTACGCTTACTAATGAAACGTGGTGCTGATCCAAATGCTTGTGGTGGTGTACGAGATCGACCGCTGCATCTGGCCAGCAATAAAGGACAGATTAGTATTGTTTCTGCACTTCTGGAAGCGGATGCAGATCGTTTGTTTTTAAACTTCCTACTAATTTCAGGAAATTTTAAATCGGTCATTAAAAGTAATATTTTACATGTTCGACAACATCACTAATTTCATTCATTTTTACATAGAAATATTATTGATTAATAGGAGCTCTTTACTAATTTGGGATAATATGAACCACTGGTTTATTTATTTGAATTATCCTGCTGTTCAATAATTCTAAGCATATATCTTATTCTCATTCATAATTTTTTGTTCATAATTACTTTTTGAAATTGGATTTTGTAGCAACCCTAGCTGATGATGAAGGTAATACGTCGTTACATTTCGCTGCAAAAACAGGTCACGTTGGAATCATCGATTTATTACTCCTAAAAATTGGTACTGGTCATCAGGAAGTAAGTATTCTCTAATAAATCATTTAGTCATTAGTCAAGAAATAGTTATCATATTTTAAAACCTACCCCGTTCATGTTTTCATTAAATTACGTTTTATACTATCATCATGCACAGGTGGCTTTTCCTTCTCACGAAATCTGGCCTGATAATCTCGGAATGTGTTGAAATATAATCCGGAAGCTTCAAATTGATTAAAAAGATAGTATTACTACCTGCTGGAATGAATCCAGGCCTTTGAATTTTGAATGGCTTGATCAGTGGCTAAACGGCTACAGCCGGTTTAAATATACTGTATTAAATAACTAGACAGTTCCTGTGATTAGGATCTTATGATTAGGGTTATGATTTCTCTTAAACAATTACGAAAGTACCCTTATAAACAACGAAAGTTTCATGACCAATCACAAATCACTGCTACTATCATACATTTCGACCTGAAATAACTCTTTAAGTCATTTTCAGTTAGCTTTGAAAACCAATGTTTATGGTGATACACCGCTTCATGCAGCTTGTTATGCAGGACGTTTGGATGCAGTGAAACGGTTGTTAGATTTTGCTGGATCGATTACTTTGAATATGGTGACTTTTTCATGACTGCCGGAAAACTAAGAATTCATCTTGTTCTATATATTTTTATCAGAAGAAAAATTTCAAATGATTTAAATATCTCATATAGGAAAATGTTTTCTCCGAAACACCTCTACATGCAGCTTGTACCAATGGCAGGAATTTGGAATTGGTGGCTTTTTTATTGAAACAACCTGGTGTAGACGCCAATTTTCAAGGGCAGGATGGTCATACTGGTAGGTTATACAGGATGTTTATAATTGCCTTTTTCCTAAAATTGTTGCTATGTAATAAGTTTCTGAGAAATATCAAAAAAAGAAGTGAAAAGTCTCTTTTTGCAGTAAAAAGTTTTTATTTCTTCTGAGAATCTGCTCTACTCTTGAGAATTCAGGACAAATCTAAGTGAATAACTCATAACTGAAATCTGATGAAAGCACATTTTATTACCTAATCTGTTTATGGACGGTTTAAATGGATATAATTCAAATCCGTTTATTTAAACCAAATTTAAACCCATCTATGAGAGGGCAAGTCTGATGCCAGCAACCGCGGTATTTCCAGCTCTCAAAGTGTAAATATCGTCATTGCTACGATTAAAAAAACTTATATTTGGAAGTTCGTCTCAGGACCTGATCCATTTATTGGATAAGAATCGGGCTTCTAAGCTGATATTGTCAGTTTTTCTTACGTTTTCCAAAAATGATATTTCAAAATTCTAGCCCTGCACAGCGCATGTTATCATGGGCATTTACGATTTGTACAATTTCTTTTGGATAATGGTGCAGATCAGTCATTGACTGCTCGAGCTGTTGATTATTCGCTCTTACCAAGCGGAACATTAAGTGGCAAGTTTCAGTTTTTCCAGGATTAATTTTTTCCGTTTCAGTTCTTTTTCTGTATGGTTTTATTTAGCTCTATTCTCTAATCGGATAGTATGAAATCATCTGTTCTGCTATTTGGAAAAGCTTATTTGTTGCAGCTGCTTATTTTTTGAGAACAAGAGATACGGTGAGAATCATATTCGATGTCGTAAAATTTATTTTTATCCTGGAGTTATGATATGTGAAATTAAAGTCGCAGACATAAACTTGCAGAGTACTTTTTAAGACAAAGTGATAACGGTAGTGTTGACAATGTAATAACAAAAATAGTAATAATTCGTGATTTCTTTTAGGCATCACACCAGTATCGTCAACTGTAGCTCAAACGATGCTTGCGTTATCCAAAGAATCCGGTAGTTCAGTTGGTGGTGGTGGTAGTTCAACCATTTCATCTGCTAGCCTCAATGATGATCAACAGCAAACACCTATTATTTGGGCATATGAAAAGGGTCACGATCAGATCGTCGCCTTACTCAAACATTATGCAAACAAACGTCCAGATTCTGATGTTTGCTCAGAATACAGGTATTTGCACTTCTGAACAAAAGATTTAGTTTCCATTTTTCAAAATTACACTTGAATAAACTATGCAATACATTACAGCATGTTATCGGGAAAAGTTCTGACGCCAAATATTGAAATTTGTTTTCACGTTAATATCACAGTTAAGTTTCCAATAATTTTGTGATCAAAATTAATTTTCAGTTCTGGCGAAAGCAGTTATACACCACTGCCCAGTCCTCTTGGTCGCTTGCGCTCAGTGACTAAAGAAAAAGCTGAAATATTGCAATTGAGAGCTTCACTGTGCAGTCAGTTTCATCTTTCGTTAACAGACGTCGATTTTCAGGTACCTCTACTTTCCATCTCATTGTTTTGAGAAGGGAATTACTAGTAGAAATATTAAAGTTTGCGAAATATTTGCGAAAATATTTGAAATTTTGCGAAAAAAAAACTTTGTTGCAAAATTTATTTCAGGAAGCTATCGGTAGTGGTTCATTCGGGAAAGTTTACAAGGGTACGTACCGCGGCAAAATAGTAGCCATCAAAAGGCAGGTTACTATGTATTTTTGTTTTTGGCTGGGTAATCAAGTTATTGAATTCTAAAATGAAAAAAAAAACCGCACTACAGATATCGTGCAGTGGCATTTGGTTCCAAGAGTGAAGTTGATATGTTCTGTCGCGAAGTATCAATTCTGAGTAAACTCCAACATCCGAATGTGATTAATTTTGTTGGTGCATGCTTGGATGACCCAAGCGTATGTTTATTTTAATTATCTTTAGGTGAAACTGAAACTTTCCGTTTCGAAATTAGAACTAAGTAGATATAACACGAGGGAGCTATCAGGATCGGAAGTTGAAAAAATTCTTTTTCACATATATCTTTACAATGATTACTGTTTACAAATATCCTTCCTTTCTATTCACATCCGGCTTTTTTTCTGCTTCTGTTTTCCACCCTTCAACGAAAACTTCTGGATTCCTTCTGAAAAACCGCATATTTCCGAGTTTATTATTCGTAAACATATGATTTTTTGCAGCAATTTGCAATAATCACAGAATTTCTTGTTAATGGATCCTTATTTTCCTTACTACATGAACAGAAACGGTAAGTTTTCAGTATGTTAGGTGCAAACTGTTTGAATTTCTAGAGGACTGAAAATTTGAGATGAAAAACAATGAAAATTTACTAAAAACAATGAAAAAATAAAAACAATGAAAATTTACTTTAAACAATGGAAATGTTAAAAAACAATGATGTTATACAATTCTACGGAAAAAAATCAGTCTTTGCTATAGAACTATCTATACTTGCATTGGGAAAGTATAACTAACATAAAAAACTTATTAAAGGGTTCTGGAAATGGCTTTGCGTCTAAATATAGGGATTGATGTTGCACGTGGAATGCGATACCTGCATGAGCTGGCTAAACGACCGGTGATCCATCGAGATCTCAATTCTCATAATATTCTTCTTCATGAGGATGGCCACGCTGTGGTAGCGGATTTTGGTGAATCACGCTTTATGGCACAATACGACGATGAAAATATGACCAAACAACCGGGAGTTAGTCATGTTTGAAAAAATTGTTTGAAATTGAAATTGGAAAATTTATAGGATCAACTGAGGTCAATAAACCAAAGAAAAACACAAGAAGGTCAAATTACTGTGAATTTTTGCATCATTCGTAGATATTATGAGGTTGGATTTTTTTTCATAATTTTGATAGAAAGATTTTTGGCCTTCCCACATGTATTTTATCTATCCATGATGCTTATAAAGATGAATTTAAAAATTTCTCTTTCCCTGTTAGTAGTACCTTATAGAATCTTCGCTGGATGGCACCTGAAATTTTCACTCAATGTGGCCGGTATGATCGAAAAGCCGATGTATTCAGTTATGCTTTGTGCATTTGGGAGCTTCATGCTGCAGAACTACCGTTCGCTCACTTGAAACCTGCTGCTGCTGCAGCTGAGATGGCTTATAAACGAGGTTTTGGATCTTAATTTACATCAGATTCGTAATAACATATTGAAATGTTAACTTCAGCTTCATGTCTCGAAATCTTATCAATGATTTCAATTAATATTTTGTGAATAATTACACAGTTTGAAGTGCCAATATTTGCACGATTCTAGTAATGTCGCGACAGATAAAGCATTCCGTACTACCACTGAAAAAAACGAACTCAAAGAAATTAGTCATTGAAAAGCATCAATGTAGAGCAGTTTGGCTAAGAATTTACTTTGTAGGTATTTTACTTTTAAGTCTGAGTTTCAGGTCGTCCACCCTTACCTCCACATCCAACTGTTCAATTCCCGGCGCATATTTTGTATATGATAACATCAGCATGGCATCATGACCCAAAATCTAGACCCGCTTTTGCGGATATTTTACCAAACATCGAAAAGTATGCGTCACCAGTTAAACCACCTAATGGAGTATCTCCCAGTAATGGTACAACAGATTGCGGATTGTTATCTGTTTCGAAACTCAAGAATCATTGGGAACGTAAAGGAATACCACAAGGTGAGTCTTAAATTTGAAAATGGAATTTTTAATGGTCCGCTGACTATATCAAGATTTGGAGTTCATGATATTGCACGGAAAGCTCTTCAGGGAACTCCCTAATTGTAACTGAACCAGAAGCTTTCATAAAGTATGCTATTGGTACCAGTTTATACTTTTTAAATTTTGCAAAATTATATAGCTTAACTGATATCAATTATTATTTATCCTAATACCCTTCTATTGACCGTTCATCCAACTTGCTATATCTCCTTCTAGTTGAATTTCATCATCTACTTTAATTCGATTTTTATAATTTCGTAGTCAATGTTGATATAAATTCAATCTTCATTTTAGAAGTCTGAATATTATTTAAATTCAAAAATAAAATTGGCCTTCACGACTGTTTGGTTTGGAAGTACTGAACAGTTGTTTTTCTTTCATTGTTGGAACAAATATCATTCAGAAGTACTGGTCGTTGTATCTTTCAATACTTTTCCAAACTTTGTTGATATTCATAATAGTAAATATTACCAGAAACGATATGCAAATAAAAAGTCCTAAGCATGAAATTATTTTTTGCTTCTTAGAAACCTAAGACTTAGAACTTCACTACGGTTAATTTTCTTTTCTTCTACAGCTGTTGTAAACTATCAGCAAGCAAAATATGAAGAAACTACTACATTTATTACTTTTCGAAATTATCATCTATTGCTCACCCTTATCATTTTCGTTGTTATCATCATAAATAATATAGTAGGGAGAGAGGGGAGTGATGGAGTAAGCTAAACCGAAAAGTATAACTATAGAAGTCTATCCCATAATATATTGTTTGTATTGAAAGCCTCGACTTGGAAAAGTTTTTTTCAGATACATTTTCAGATTTTAAGCGAATTAAAGTGAACCATTTCGATGGACTGACCGACTTGCCGCAAAATTTCGAGATACATACGAATATGTAATGAAATTCTCGATAGTTTTAAATCCATTCAGCATTGATATGATTTACTTGATAGTGATTTACTTGATAGTAATAGCTTGCTTATTTTTTTCTTTTTTTTACTTAATAGTATTGATAGTTTCAATAGCCTTGTATCTGTCATAATCCTATTGTAATTTAGTTTTTCATTCGTCCAAAAAATCATCCCTCCAGCTATTTTAGCAACAGATATATTTTTAAAATTTCATTATTTCAATAGTTATCATTATCCAACGATTGTGTTATTCTTCTTTCTTCTTTTTACTCAGATATTTTCATCAGCATCAGTAATTTTAATTTCATTAATATCATCACTGCATCTATTAGAATGAATTCCACTAAATTTTCTCATCTTCTGATTTTTTTGGATAGTAGTGATTAACTATATTTGTTGATCACCATTGTTTATGTTTCACTGCCTGTTTAGAGTTATTATCAGTTCTCTTGGAATGATTTATGAAAAGCATTAAATTCTACTATGAGAAATTTTCATCAGTGTTCAAAATATGGGAGGAATTGAGTAAGAATTACACACTGCACAACTTAACAGCATTGCCATAGATACGAATTAATTAGTGGACAAATTCTTTGAAATCTGCAATAATTTTTCCTGAATAATATCTCTAACTTGTAATAGTATTTTATTTCATATTTCAGAGTCAACACAACATTCTACTGCTAGCACATTTTCAAATTCAAACAATGGCATAGCTTCATCTTCCTCCACATCATCGATTTTATCATCAATATCATCGTCAACCAAAGCTGTTGATGAACTTCGACAACGGCTAGATCGTAATGGATATGTTTTACAACCAATTATCACTGTTGATAATGCTTCCATATCGTGATATAGTTTTGGTTAATTGAAAGAAAGCTATGTATTAAAGCATTGTATAAATTTTCTTTTTTAAAATTTCTAACCGAATTTTTTTCATCCAAGCAGAATACATATAATGTTTTGTGCTCATAGCAGCAATTCTTTTAAAATTTATAGATGTTATAATTTTAATGTTAGAGGTGAATAGATGATATCCTTCAATTCGTTGAAATTAATAGCACAGTTGACAATAGTTTTGGTTAGTAGTACTATAGATAAGATTGTATTCATTACTGTCAATTAGAATTCACTGTTATCTGTTTGTCTTCATCGAAACAATCAAGGAATCTATAAAAGATAGAGGAAATACGGAGTGAGGTTTTACGATTCATCATCTCTTTCATAAGCAACGTGTGCTGTTATGTATCGGTGTATCTGAGAAAGAAATTTTGATCGATGTAAGAAGTTCAGATTTGTTCCAAGCAGATGATTTTTTGGATAAGTGAAATTGAAAGTAAAGCAATATTGAATTCATGCAAAAGAAATGTGTGGATAATGGGTATGCTGTGCTGAATAATTAATTTGTAGGTTAATGCTTTAAAAATTACTTTTGAAAATTAGTTTTGAAAAATTGCTTTAAAACTATTGCATGAAGAAATTGTGTCGAAATTTCAACTCTTTGGATTTGACTGGAGCATCAAACAGTACAGAAAGTGGCATAGAATCCTAACTATATGTGATTTACATCTGTAACTTACCTTATATACGATAACAGTCGATAAGTTAATCATGATAGATAATGTAACAGCTGAAAACTAATGTCGAAGTATGGAAAAAGCTTTTAGACATGACACATCAATGTGGATCAGCAAATCATTGAATTTTAAACATTAAATTTTAATTGGAAAAAAACTTCATTTACAAGGGAGTATGAGCGAAAGAGGTGTATGCGAAGTTTTAATCAGTGGTATCCTTACAATACTAACATTCATATATTTGGTAAGTGCTTTGGTTTTTCTTCTCATCTTTACTTTTTTATCATCCAATTCATTTCTAATTCAAATTCTTTTGATGTAAATAAAACATTTCACCTGGTGATAACTAGATGATAATTGTGATAAATTGTTTTTTAGGCTGTTGGTCTTATCGTAATCGGATTAAGTTTATGGCTTCGATTAGATCCAGCATTTGAAGAAATGATGCGAAAGAATATTCTCCGGATTAATAATAATAATGCAGAAATGGATGAAGTGAAAGATCAAATTCGTTTTGGTGTAAGTTTAGCAAATTATATAGATAAAAATGGATGATTTATTTTTGAAACATTCCCTATGGTAAACAAACATCAAAAGTATCATTAAAATTAGGATTGCTGGGAAGATGCGACTTAGTTTTAATCTTACTTTCCTTCTAGTACTGTTACCTTTACTAAGTTTCTTATTTTAAAAAAGATTGTACTGTTTGGAAAATGCACCTGAAATATGCAATGGGTTTTCAATGCATTCTGTTGAATCGTTTTTAATCAAAACTTTTATCAATAGATCAGGTATATCCACAGAAAAATAATTGATTGTTTATTGGGAAAAGAGCAATGTTTTTCAGAAATATACGATTTGTGTAATTGTAGATGAACTTATCCAATAATTGCAGTTGACGATATCATTTTGGGTAATTTGTGGTTGTGGGATTGCAGCCTCTTTAATTGGCTTACTTGGCGTTTGTGGAGCAATTTTTATAAGTCGCGTAACACTTATTTTGAATTTAATAACCTCTGTGATGCTAATGGCTATTGAATTAGCAATTGCACTTTTCATCTTTCTTTACAAACCAACGGTATGTTTAATATCAGTTTAAATATACAATGATTTTGATTTCAACAGATTAAAGGGAATCTTGAAATAAATGAAAAATCTGTGAATGAACTACCTGGAATTATTTCTTTTATTACAGCTTTCATTAAAGAATTTTAATGGATAGGAAAGACTTTTAAAGGAAAGTACTTTAATTATGAAATCGAAAGCATTCACATTTTCGACAATCTGTTGATAATTGAGGGAAGTGAAAGAGATTTTCAGGATTTAAATTAAATCTTATAAAATTATACAGATCGAAGAAACAACAACTCGTTATGTCAATTTAGCCGATCAATTGGATGGTTTGCTGGATGACATGAATACCATTACATCAAGGGTTTGATACTTGTGATAAATCAGAAAACAAATAGTAGGAGGAGCAGCAAAGTGATAGCAATTCTTTGTTGAATTCGAATTTGTGCAAGAATTGGCAATTTGAAAGATCGTAATATTGGAAATCTATTGCAGCCGATTAAAATAATTCGAAAAAAAGAAATGTTGTTTTTCAGTATAAATGCTATAGTACGAGAAATAATCACTCAACAACATGTATGACAGTCAATCAGGTAAATTATAGCAATTGTTAAATGAATGAGATTTGTTTAGAAATAAAATGACACATGTTCACTTATAAAAGTTAGATGTACAAGCAATAAGAAGTTAGGGTATAAATAATCATTAGATAAAGTAAGTTAGAAAATAAGGTATAAATTCCAATCATTTAATTCTCATTATAAACAAAGAAAGTTGTGACAATAGAAGGCTTAAGGCGACTTTAGACTGAATGCTATCTTGCATTACCAAGTAGAGATTGGTTTTGATAATACAAAAATTATACGTGTATATATATATATAAAATGACAATTGATAATATAATAATTGACGAAATATATTTGATAATATATTATGATAATTGGTAACATAAAAGAACAGCCATTATCAATTAAAGTTTGTAAAATAAGTTTGTAAGGCTTGGGCAGAATTTTTAAATTATTAATTTTCCTTGTTTTTTTTCTTTTTTTGATTTGATAGCGAAATGATACTACATTATCATAATCCCAATATGAGATTGTCAGTTCTTGGTTAATTATGACAGCAAAGAAAAGTTTATCTGTAAGCATTCCTTTTGGCAAGTTGCTTTGTAAAGTTTCTTATAAACAGATAAGAATTAGAGAAGTTCTTCAAATATTGATAAGTGATAATTGATTTGGCAAAAGTAACAGTAACTCTTTTCGAAGATACTGCTACTTCTTTATTTGTTAAATTTCAGCTCACCTGTGCGACAGCTGTTTGGCAACATTTGGAGTATAATCTAATTTTAGCAGGCTATTTTACAGCAGGTATCATCATACAGCAAGCTTTAGCAATGCTTTTATGCATTGTAAAAATTGCTTCAAGTGCTTGATGATAATGAATCATCAAATTAATTAGCACAACTTCATTCCACATTATAATAATGATAATATAGCATTCTCCAATACTGTCGATTTTCAGTGCAACTCAAGAGGGATTTAAAAACATTATTAGAAATATATACTGCATGTTACGATTATATTGATGTATTTTAAAATTTTTGTTATCTTTATCAATTTTTAATTCATTTTTGATCTCATTTTACTCATTTCAAATGATCAATTTTTGATAAAATTTGTATTTTATGTTAACAAAAGTGATATTTAATTTATGTAACGAACAAATTATGCAAATCTAATTAGCATATACAAATCTAATTATAATTTTTCTCTGCTGCTATCAATGATCAGAAATTATTCCTGATAATTTAACATTGATTATTATCATATTGTCACTACTAACTTGTTAAATTACCAACAAATGCTAGCAGTTTGAAGAAAATAAGAAGTAAACTTGAAAGCTTTCAAACTGTGTCATACTATGCTATTAGATGATATAACGAATTGAAATTTCAATGAATAGTAAACTAAACGAACATTTTTTTTTATTTACATGAAAAGACAAGGTAGCGATCGTAAATATCTTCACATATATTCATCTTAATAACATTTTTTTTTAAAATTATTTTAATTAATCAAATTAAGTGTACATGAAGACATTTATATGAATCAACTAAATTAAAGTAACAACCTCCATCAACTTTAATCATAAATAGTTAATCAGACATCTGCGCAAATAAATATAATAGATGTGAATTTTTTCTGCTTCACCAAGTATATCCTGTAAAAAAACTATCATAAATCAAATCAGCAATTTGTGATATTATCAAAAAGGTTCATGAAATCATGAATGAATATTAAAAGTGTGAGAAGTAACAGAAGTTAGTTTAAAAATTTCATTGATAAATTGGCTCATTTGTTAAATTCAAAGAGCAAACAAATAAATGAATGAATGACAAAATAGAATGATATTAAATCAATCATTTTAAATATTATTAATAATGTAAAAAAAAAGAAAAACATTCGAAATATTTGTTGAAAATTTACAATAACTACAATTTTATCCGGCAAAATTTGTCAAATATTCAAATCTAAATTATAAAGTCATTTTTGAAATTTTTTTTGCCTCAAATAATCCGCCAAAATAATTAAATCGTACACAATCCCTATTGCTTTAAGTTTCATGTTTTACACATTATGATATCAAATAGATCCGTTGAAAATTATGTTAGTGACCGCTTCTCAGGTCACATATCTTACACATTTCATCCATTGACAAATAAATTTATGGTCATTTATTTCGAGTAAATATGCTTATATTTAAAATTCCTAGATAGGCGAAGTCTTATGAATAAATTATATTCATTTTATGATTAGCAAATAAAAATTTCATATAAATTATTGAATTTTATTCAATCATAAGTTTTAGCCATTCGTCGTTGACGTTGTATTCGTTTGAAATATTGCCTTTCACTATCATAATTACGTGAGAAATTTTCGACAATCATTGTTATTGGAAATGCTAATACCAATACACCGGATATGCTAGCACAACTAGCAATCAATTTACCAACTGAAAAAAAAAAAAAGG